TGTAGTTAGGTTAGGGTTACCGTTACGTAGTAGTTAAGTTAATTAGGTTAGGTACCGTACGTTAGTTTTTTAGGTTTTCGTTGGTTCGTAGAAGTAGTAGGACGTACGTAGTAAGAAGTAATAGTAGACTCTCTCTCTCTCTCTCTCTCTCTCTCTCTCTCACGCACGCAGACATATATTGTATTTACTGCCAAACTCATGGTTTACAAAATATTTGACCTTTCTGGCTATTGTTTTGTGGATTTATTCGGTGCTTAGGAAGCGCTTACCCTGCATCAAAACTTGCTAAGCAATAAAGGTAGGATTCTTATGCATGTTATCCTTGCAGAAGACCAGGCAAACAAGATTTAAACTGCCATAATCGAGGCAGATGTGCTGACTGGTCAAATGGTTAGCTCAAACCAATGTGTGAAACATTTAGGGTCTGTCAAAAGGTAACAATATTCTGGTACCAGTTGATCGGAGTACGAGGGCTCCTGTGTAATCCTCTTAAGTTATTAGTGTTTTATTTGTACTTACTGCATAACAGTGTACATGAGCCGAGCTGAGCTGAACTGGGACATGTGTAAGCTTGGCTTGCATAGGTAGAGAACTAGCTCAAGCTAGGCATGATTAAGGGGAATGATTCATGCACTTTGGCTTTCTTTGACCTGTTTAAGTAAGCCCATAAAAAGAGCCAAGAAATTAGCAAGCTGGCCGCAAACCATGTATATGTACTTTTGAAACATTTGTAGCATAGAAAAACTGATAATATAGGTGGTTTGGCTTGATTTAAAACGAGCAGGGCAGTTGGGCACAAACCATGAGGTAAATTCTATTTGGATATTTCCTGTTTCCCAAAATGATCGTTAGTATGAGCCTTTGGGAGAACCACGTATAGAGAGCATCACGTCATAGCTGGATGTTAGAGAGAGAGAGATGGTGTGGTGCATCTTTTGTTTGACAGGGGGGTGTAGTGCATTGCCGTGTGAACCGAGATATAGGTCCATGCCGTCAGTTGGAGAATGATCGTTGACATAAAGTTCACTCTTTGTTTCTCAATATTTTATGGAAGTGAGGAATTTGTGCAACAAGATCTCGCAAATTGACAAGGAGTCATGGATTGATGAGAATTATACACGGAGAATGATCATCTGCAGGCTTAAATTAGAACTTTATCGGTTCTTGACAGTGGTCCAAGGATGACTAACGCAACCCACATTAACCTAGTTAGAGACCTTAATCATGAGCCTTTAGTAAGGCATAGCTAGGCTCTCTGTAAAGGAGTGTGAGGAGGTGTTTGTGGAAACTCAATAGCGATGGGGGAGGAAAAGCAGAAATCAACCCACGAAGTTATAGACTCACAGTAAGGAAGACAGCAGTTGCGGAAGGATAAGCAATGTCAAAAGACTTGCTATCACCGTGGAAAGTTGGGTCAACTTCATGAGACAATGCTGAATGCTAAGAAAGGCCCGGGAATAGGAACGTAATGACAGATAATATACTAAAGTCACAAGATGGCAATAGTGGTAGGGAGCAGGTGGGTTATGCATAGGTTGTCGAAAGCCTTGACCAGATATTTCCCTTGCTCTCACCATATTGGAGATGGATGTAGCAATGCCTTGTGAGAGCGGCCGTGGATTACACGTTTGATTGGCTAATAGACTAAAGCTGTTCACACCACATATCTGGTGATTGGCTAATAGACTAAAGCTGTTCACACCACATATCTGGTGACCGCAAGAAGTTCGTATGACTGAAAGTTTGAGGGCAATCATGCTATAGTGACAAGAGACAACTCGGTGCATCCACTAGCACTAGCGAATGTGGAGAACGTGCATCCTACTACTAGCGAATGTGGAGAACGTGCATCCTACTCGACATGGTGATGGTGAAGAGACTATCCTAGAGGACATGTAACATGTTCCATCTATGGTGAGAGGTGTCTCTTGTGCACTGTCGTGTATATAGCTAACCACATTTAAGGAAGCAAAGCACGTTGCTGAAAGGCATGTTACAATGGAAGACGAGATTAATATTCTCAAGAAGAACATGACATGGGATCTTGTACCACTACGAGCAAATGTGAAGCCTATTTGATGCAAATGAGTGTACAAGGTGAAATGATAGTCAGATGGGACCGTTGATCGCTACAAGCCACAATTTGTTGCACGGGGATTTTCATAGCAGTATGGTGCAGATTTTGATAAGACCTTTAGAGCAAATTGCAAAGATCATAACAGAGTAAGTGTTGATAGTGCTAGGGGCTAGCAAAGGATAGAAGCTCTAGCAGATGCATGTAACGAATGTATCTCTCCATGGCGAGCTATATCGTAAAATTTACATAAAGCAACCCGGTGGATTCGAGAGTAGAGAAATACCGCAACATGTGTGCAAGCTACGAAAAGCTTTGTACGGATTGAAGTAGGGTACATGAAGATCATAGAAATCATGTTTAGTGGGTATAGGCACTCGCAAATTTGAGCTTGTTTAGTAGGAAAGTTAGTAATTGTGCTAACTAATGTGGATGACTTGATTATCACTAGTGATGATGTGGATCAAATCAACCACATTCAAGAGTACTTCTTGTGAGGTTGGAGATGAAAGGAGCTAGGGGAGCTTAATCACTTTCTTGGTTTAGAAGTACACCAGCATGAAAAGTCGTTTTTTATGCCAAAATAAGTATGCAAGTATTTGTTACACTAGTTTGGAATGAACTGCAAGCTCCCTCCTATTGAAGTTAATAGAAAGTTGAGAAGTGATGTAACAGAGGAACTAGCAGAATGTACAGATGTACAGGTAGCTGATCGGAAGCCGAATATATTCGGCTCTTTCATGACCAGATATTACTCAGGTTGTGAGAAATTTTATCAGGTTTATGTAGAGACCTTGAAAATCTCATTTGGAAGAAGTTTGGCCTATTTTGCAGTAGATGAAGGGTATATGGTGGAGTTTGGGATTCTCTATGAGCAGGGGTTCTGTGTGTTAAGTAGTCGACCGTTATGATGTGGATTATACTGGTAACTTGACAACTCAGATAGACTAAAAGTCTACATTTTCAGCTTGGGGTTAGGAGCAATTTCTTGGCGCCACAAGAGGCAATTTATGATTTCCTTGTCTACGACGGAAGCTTAGTATCAGACAACATCTGTGGCAGTTCAAAATTGGGTATGGCTAATGCAAGTTGTGCAAAATTTGAAGTAAGATACAAATTATGCAGTCGAACTATACTGCAACAACAGAAGCACCGGATGACTTCTGGAATTTTTGCGAATCTTATGTTTTATGCGAAGACAAAATTTTTTGAAGTACATCACCACTTCATTTGTAAGAGTGTTGAGGAGACATTGCCCTTTTACCAGTGACTACGGAGCAAATTATGGACGGGTTCATGAAGGTATTGCATTCTTCACATTTTATAAAAGTTCAACGAGCAACGTAGCGTCATGAGTAGAGAATCAGCACTGAGGGGGAGTTTTAGAGATTATTGCTGATTTTATATCTTTATTAGTTACGAGTTCTAAAAGTTAGGAGCGTCATGAGTAGAGAATCGGCACTGAGGGAGAGTTTTAGAGATTATTGCTGATTTTATATCTTTATTAGTTACGAGTTCTAAAAGTTAGGAGCTTTTATGTGACAAGGATTAGGGACCACCTAGTGCTTTTGGATAATATTTAAATAGGAGTGAGATTTGGTTAAAGGTCCCGTAAAATTAGAGCTACAATTATTTTAGGAGTAGAAATTAGATATTGGATTTATTTTCACATGTTGAGAGAATAGAGAGAATCCCATGAGATATATATACTACATTATTAAATCAGAGTTAAAGGGTAAACAAATGGTGCAAAAATAAGAAGGGGCCCTAGTTTATAGAGATTGTAGGACGCATTCTTAACTTTAGGGGAAGAGAGAGATAACATACATACTTGTTTTAGGATAGCTAAATTAGAGAGAGAGAGAGAGAGATTGAATAGGCACATGAGAGAGATTTACATATCTATTTTGTAGGATAACTAAATTTGAGAGAGAAAAAGAGAGAGCCCACGAGAGATCTACACACCTATTTTATACGATAACTAAAGTAGAGAGAGAAAATGAGTACGCACAAGAGAGAGGAGAGAGATAATAAGTAGACACAAGAGAGAGATCTATACACCTATTTAGGAACCTTTTTTATAGGATAACTAAATTTGAGAGAGAGAGATAATGAGTACTCATAAAAGAGAGATCGATGCACCTATTTTATAGGATAACTGAACTTGTGAGAGAGAATGAGTACGCACAAGAGAGAGAGATCCACCCACTTATTTTATAGGATAACTAAATGAGAGAGAGAGAAAGAGTATGCACAATCTAAAATTTGAGAGAGGGTAATACTATGTTTAGTAGGAATCTATAAAATTGATCCTTATGTAAAATCTATCCAATAATCTAATTCATTGAGAAAGATGAAGAGGGAGATAGAAACTAGAGATAGGAAAGCAAGGTGCATGAGAGAGATAGGGAGATATAGAGGAAGATATGATGTTATCTAGAGACATGGAGAGTTTTTTAGATTGAGAGATTTAAGGAGAGAGGAGAGAATTTTTTATGGAAGATTATGCGTAGGGGAGGGGGAGTGAGATGGAAGATGTGAAGAGAGAGAATGCATGTAGAGAGATGTGTTGAGAGAGAGTGAGATAGAAGATGCGAAGAGAGAGAATGCATGTAGAGAGATGTGTTGAGAGAGAGAAAATAAAATATATGACATGCATATTGAGAATTTTTGAGATTAAGAGATTTTAGAAAAGATTGAGAGATTTTTATGGAAGCTTTTGACAAGTAGAGAGAGTTAGAGAGGGGGAAACTCCTAAAAAATAAAAGATAGAGTTCGTGA